CGGCGCCGCGCGCGAAGCGCCCTGGTGTCCCGGAGGTCCGCGGGCAGGGTGACCTCCTGCCTCCTGTGCCAGGTGTAGTCGAGGCTGGCGCCACTGTGGGCCCCACTCTAACTCCGCCACCCGGCCCCTGTAGCCCCGGAGGGGCCAGCGCAAGTCTCATTTATGCCGGGGCGGGCCCTGGGGTCGTCATGCCCTAAGTCCCCGCCCTCGCGCGGCTTAGTGGCCTCTCCCTACAGCCCGTCGTAGTTGGCGGCGGCATGGTCTTCTGTCTGGAGAACAAGGAGCCTCGCCGCCCGCTGCGAAGCGCCATGGTCCATTTCCAAGCCTCGGAAGTCCAGCAGCTACTACACAACAAGTTCGTGGTCATCTTGGGGGACTCAAGTGAGTGCCCTTCTAGAATCGCACTTGCGTTGCGGCATCTGCAGCCTATGTTCTGTGTCTGGACCCATCATCTCTATCTCAGACGTCCTCCCTGATCCCTAGTCAGTTTCAGATCAGTAGGCTTTCTCTTTATTTCCCCAGCTGGTACTACAGGTGTCCTGACAGATGTATCCTGTCAAGCTTTTCACCCCATCCTTGCTTAGCATTTTTCTTCCTAACAGTCCCGCACAATTTCTCTCATGGAAGCGGTGGATTGTGTATGTCTTGGATGACTTGACCTCTGCCAGGTGATCTTGAGTCACTGTGCATCAAGTTGAGGAATGGCGTATAGGTAGAAGGAACAGAGGCAGTGCCAGGACTTTTTAACGTCACGTTTTCTCTTGCTTCTTATTCAGCAGTCCACAAAGGTGGTGTTAGGCAACCCAGCCCTGGGAAGGTGGGAGGCCTGGACTTGAAAGGGGTTGAGGTGGAGTGAGGCATGCCTCAGCCTTGGGATCTCTGTCTCCCTGCAGTCCAGCGGGCTGTGTACAAGGACCTGGTGCTCCTGCTCCAGAAAGACTCACTGCTCACAGCTGCCCAGTTGAAAGCCAAGGTGAGGCAAGCTTACTAGCCATGTCAGTGGTGGGCAAGCTCAGACCCTGGCCTGGTAGGGTTCTCCTCCCTGGTATGGGGTCTGACCAGCTGGGTTGGGGGGGTGGGCAGGGGGAGCTGAGTTTTGAACAGGACCAGCTGGTGGCTGGCGGTCAGCTGGGCGAGCTGCACAACGGGACGCAGTACCGGGAGGTCCGCCAGTTCTGCTCAGGTTCTGGCCACCACCTTGTGCGATTCTACTTCCTCACCCGCGTTTACTCTGAGTACCTCGAGGGAGTCCTGGAGGAGCTGACGTATGGGCCTGCCCCAGACCTGGTGATCATCAACTCCTGCCTCTGGGATCTCTCCAGGTTGGGGCTGGGGAGAGGGCAGTACTGACTCAGGGTGGAGGTATGGCTCAGAGGCCATCCATCCCTGTGTTCTTGCCCACCCTTTGTGCTGCCCAACAGGTATGGCCGCTGCTCAATGGAGAGCTACCGAGAGAACCTGGAGCGGGTGTTCGTGCGCATGGACCAGGTGTTGCCAGACTCCTGCCTGCTGGTGTGGAACATGGCAATGCCCCTAGGGGAGCGTGTCACTGGGGGTTTCCTTCTGCCTGAGGCAAGTGACCGGGGCCCCTCAGGATGGAGGACGGGCAACTGACTGGTACATAGAGGACCCTCCCTCCCAATCCTGCCTTCATTCTGTGGCTCTTGGATGCTGCACTTTCTCACTCAGCTCCAGCCCCTGGCGGGCTCTCTGCGGCGGGATGTGGTTGAAGGGAACTTCTACAGCGCTACACTGGCCGGGGACTACTGCTTCGATGTCCTGGACCTCCACTTTCATTTCCGGCATGCAGTTCAGCACCGTCACCGGGACGGGGTCCACTGGGACCAGCATGCCCACCGCCACCTCTCACACTTGCTTCTGAGCCACGTGGCCGATGCCTGGGGTGTGGAGCTGCCCAAGCGTGGCTATCTCCCTGGTGAGCCCTACCACAAGTTGGGAGGGTAGTGATGCAAAAAGGGCCCTCAGAGCCTAAGGCTCAGACGTAACAGGACAGAGATACCCAAAGGGAGTAGAGGCCCCTTGAAGGACTGTTGCGGACCCTGAGAGTGTCTTCCTCTTCCCCTGGGTTTCTGTGTGGTCTAGCGGTATAGTGACCTCTGTGTACGTGAATGAGCTTGTGTAAGCATCAAGCATGTAAGGCAGCATGTCAAAAGACAGATAAACAGGAAAGAAATGGGGGTACTTTTAAATAGGAATGGACTTGGGGGGTAGAAAGATAAACAGAGGAAAGGCAGTCCAGGCAGTGTAGCAGAAGCAACAGAGCCCCTTGGCTGGTGCCATCAGGCTCTCAGTTCCTGCCTGCCCATAAAAGGGGACATCGTGAGTTATGTTCCATGTCTGCTTCTCCCCTGGATCATGTCCTCCAAGGGCAAGGTTCTTGCCTCACTTGTTGACAGCTCACTCCTTTCAACCCCAGTGTCTAGCACAGTCGTGTATATAGTGCCTATGGGATGGTGTTTATTGAATTGGCGACATGACTCATGTTAGAAGGCTGTAGTAGCACCAGAGGGCGTCGGGGCACAGAGAGGCCAAGAATGTCAAATTCAGGACTTGGTAGCCTGGAGTTGGAGCATCATGGAGGCAAATTATATAATAATTGATTGTATAATGGTTCAGTTTCCTTGTTTTTTTTAGACAAGAGAATTGATCTGCAACAAAGAAAGGGATCCTCTAAAGGTTGTAAGGCTAGTTTGGGGTGGCTTGGTCTTCCAAACCCAGTTTGGAGCCACAGAAGTACGAACGTTAAAAAGAAGAGTTGGGTGGGAGAATGAGTTGGTGAGTTTGGTCAGGGCAGATCTCTTGGCATTCCTGTGGAGATGTAGAGTAGATTTGGAGTCATAGTGCGCAGCAGAGAGATGACAGCTGAAGGCATGAATGTGAACCGTAACGGATGGAGTGAAACCACAATCGTGTTTTGGAGCTGGAACTGAAGAGGAGCCAATGGAGGAAACAAAAGGAGATGAGGGTGGTGGCACTTTCAAGGAGGACAGAGGCTGTTGACCATGTTGTGTGACTGTCAGGAAGAGAGGAAGTGGTTACATTTAGGAGAAATGTTGAAGGAGTGAAGTAGGGTTAAAAGAGGCAGGGAGCAGTTGATGAAGGAATGGCAACCGGGCAGAATGCTGTGTGTGGAAGTTTGAAAGGAACCAGGGACTACTGTGAGAAGGAAGCGACAGGATCTCTGTTTTTAAGAGAGAAAATTGACTGAGCTTATTTATTGGTTTGCACGGAGGAGCTGGAAGAGGCCAAAGCTAAAGATATGGGAACCGACAATAAAGGGAGAAAGCTCTGGAGGGGAGCGTGAGGTTAGAACAAAGGCAGATCCACTGCCTGTTAAGAAAGGCAAGAAGGAAGGAGCACAGCTTGGGCTTGGCCTGAAACGAGAGGGGAGGAGGGAACCTCAGGAAGCAGGAAGCAGAAGGTGCCCTGTTCTCTTAAGAGGCGGGAGTAGAGGTTTAGGCGTGTGGACAGCCAGGGTTCAGGGCAGCCTGGCTCCCCAGGCCTGCCTGAAACAACCATCCCATTCCTAGATCCATGGACTGAAGACTGGCCAGAGCCGGAGCATCTCTTCCAGGGGAGCCAGGGGCAGCCCCCAGACTTTGGGGAGCAGCTGGCCTTGCCCCCGCCCTCTCCCTTGCCCCCTCCCATGCCTTTTCCGCACCCTCTCCCTCAGCCCTCCCCGCCTCCTCTGTTTCCACCCCTGCCCCAGGATCCCCCTTTTTTCCCAGGCCAGCCCTTCCTACCCCATGAATTCTTCAATTATAATCCAACGGAAGACTTCTCTATGCCACCCCACTTAGGTAGGTGCCTCCACAGCCTCCCATCACACCTTTCCCAGCCTCCCATTGAACCTTCCCTAGCCCAGCCTCCTATGTCCAGGTGGGCTGAGGGGAGTTGGGCAGCCCTAGAGTATCCCCCAGGATTGGGTTCAGTCACAGCTGAGTCTGGAACAGCATCTGCAGACTCATTAGTTAGCTCATTGATTGTCACAATTTCCTGATTTGGAGGTAAGGGAAGTGGTATTGCCATTTTGCAGATGGGAAAACTGAAGCCCACCTGGAAAAACTCACCCGGGAGGATCAGAACTGCCTGAAGGCAGAGCTGGGTTCACCCTGGCCAGAAGCCCACTCTGATAACTGCTGGTTCTTTTGTAGGATGTGGTCCTGGAGGGAACTTTGTGCCTGGCCCCCTGCCTCCTCCAGTCTCCAGCCCTATCCCCCAAGGTCAGCATCGGGGCCCGGTGGTCCACCGGGGGATGCCGCGCTGTGCTCACAACAGCCCCTACCATGTGCCGAGGATGGGGGTGCCCTGCAAGCAGCGGCTCAGACACTCAGACAGGCTGATCCACACATACAAACTGGACAGACGGCCTCCTGCCCATTCGGGGACATGGCCCGTGTAGACTGGATCTTGTGCTGGGGTGGATGTGACAGTGGCCCTGCAGGGCCTGCTTGCAACCCCAGGTGCTGGGCCAGGGTGTCTCCTGTGCCTGGCATTGTTCTTGTCCATTGCTGTCACCAATAAAAGCATGGAAGAACAGAGCGGCATCTTTTTGTGTGGGGGAGTGTATCTCCCAAACCATGATCTTGAGAGTTGGAGAGGCTGCCTCTGGTCTCTCTCCAACCTTGGACTTTTCAACTCACGCTGAGTCCTTCCTGCTGTCTCACACACTTATTTACACCCTCACCAGAACACACACGTACTTAACAAAGATCCTGGAGGGGTCCCCTGTTGTCAGCAGCTCTTTGGGATTGGGACATATCAAGGGCTGGTTTAAAATTACCAATATTTTATGTGGAGTTTTGGGTCTGGCTAGTTCTTAACTATACTGGTTTCACACATTCATGTGTACGTTCAGTGTTGAACTACTCCTGGAGGTAGGCACATACCTTACCTTGCACAATGCTTAGCATATGGTAGACACTCAATAAGTGGTTGGAACTAAAGAAGCTCCCACGGTCAAGTGGGAGGCCAATTAGAAACCCCCTATTTAATAGATACAGTGTACAATGGGAGCGAAGTGATCATAGGCTAACTTCTTTGGTGGGTGGGCCATAGAAGAGGAGCTGAGGGAGAATTTCAGCATGGGGTGGGGGTAGGGAGCTTGGCCAAACTTTTTAAGGAAGTTAAGAAAGAGTATAGGGTGTTGGCTTTGACAAGTGGTCTTGACCCGAGGTTGGTGACTACTAAGCATCAGGGGTATCGTGTAGGCTAAGTGGTGGTGTGGGGGAGTGGGGGCGCAGCATGGCAGTGGGTTGGTAATAAGGAAGCTCAGAGACCCACTAAGTAATTTTCAAGTAGAATGGGATGGAAGAGAGGGATGCAGAGCTCTGGCATTAACTTTCCATACTTGTTACTGAAATTTTACTTTGTCAAAGGGTATAACATCTTGCACAAATGGAAATGGAGACAGAAGACCAGAAAAGTTTTTATCCTTGCTAGAAATCTACTAAGTGCAAATGAAGGGAAGCTACTAAGTTAACACACACCCGTGCTGGGGAAACTGGTATAGAGAATGTGAGTTAATAAAAACCTTTAGAGAGCACCATTGTCAGGGCTGTTGAGAATCAAATGAGAAAGTGCCTGAAATGAGCTTGCAAAAAGTGGAACGCAACATACAGAAATGAAAGAAAGCCTCTTGTTAATGAGATAAGATTTCAGATCATTTTTATTGCAAAAATTAATTTTTTCTTTTCATTAGTTTGCCCAATTTCTTGTTCATTCCTTCATGCCTTCGCACAAAACTCTTTTCTCCATCTGCATCTCTGAATCTGGGGCTTCTCAGTGTTGCTAGGGAAAACTACACCCAGACTGATTTACACGTAAGAGTCATATGAGTTACCCAGCCTCATGGAGCCCTCTCTGTTGCTTGCCATCTTTTTCTCTAATTCCTTGTCACTTTCCCTACTGAGCCTTGCCTAGGTTTTTCCCCTTTCCAACGCCATCCTAATTTTGAAATTCTCACACTGTTTGCACCTTGAGACTGTTCAGTGTGTTCCATGTCCTTGAAATTCTAGCTCTGCCTTCCTAATTTTCACACCATCTCTCTTTGTGGCTCCCATTGCCCACAGTGAGGTTTCATAACCTTTTCTTCAGCTTCCCAATGTAGATTTGAAGTCTGTCATAAGAATAAAATGGAGAGAAGTTATTTTATTTTCAGCTTGTCATATTAAGAATATAGTTCAAGACACTTGACTCCTCTGTTATATATTTTATTCAGTTGTGACTGGGAAACAAACTTTAAAAATAGCCACATACAAGTCATTACATGCATTTCAGTTGTTTCCTGGCTCTTGTTTCGAGGTGTAAAAACAATGAAAAACGTACGTTTCTCCAGTGTGTAGGCACACTATTTGCTAATTAAGTATGACAGAACTCAAAATTCATTGCCTCAAAAACCATTTATATTTTGACCATTGACAAATCATTTAAGAAGACAATTGACTCCCTCTCATTCATAGAATCTTGATTTTCTAAAGAATGGCTCCAATATCCTTTCCTGTGCCATACCAAGATATTCCTGAAAGGAGTAAAAGATACATGGGCACTTTGATTGTGACACCAGCCTTTATTTTTTAGGGAAAAATAGTGTATGGTCAGGCCACTCAAGGTGGCTATTCTCTTGCTTTCTGTACATCCCCTTGCTCAGCCAGTGCCCCCTTCACCTACACCTACACACATGAGTAACTTTCCTATGCACATGCCCGAGGCCCCAGTTAATGATTGCTCTTATGAAAGGGGCAGTGAGGGGTTGTGCACCTCTGCTGCTTTCCCTGGTAACCAGTGACATCAATTTCCCCCTATTAACTGCTAACCTCCCCTGCCCTGGGGAGCAAAGACTGCCTTGTGCTGCCTGCTGTCTGCTGCACACGGTGGAGAGTCACTCCAGGACCTTGCTTCAGATGTGGAAGACCCCCACCCCTATCTATTAAACCGTTGATTTCTCTGTCAAGGACTCAAGTCTAGCTCTTGAAGTTGGGCAAGTACAGGCCTTGTAGGCCTGTGGGTATAGCCCAACAAAAAGTCTCAAGAAAAGAAATTTGGGGAATTTTTTTTCAAAAAATCTTGACCCAACTGGAGGTTTCCCAACAAAAATAGATAACTTGTTTTCTGTTACATTATCCAGTTCATTGCATAGATTGTGTGCTGAGTTCATTTTAGTGTTTAAATACATTACCATGTACATTAGTGAAAGATAAACTCTTTCTGATCATAAGGAAATGGACCTAAAAAAAAATGCTTTAGAGGTAACTGTAACTGATAGACAATAAACTGCATACATTTCAAATGTATAATTTGATAAATTTTAACATATATACAAATGTGAAACCATCATCACAATCTAGATAATGAAATTTATCTTTCTGCTTTTTTATAAGCCCTCCCTGCCTCCCTTCCCCACCACCTCCTCACATCTTCCCACCCCCATCCATAAGCCACCCTTGATAATTGACATACGTCCTGTTACTATAGATCAATTTGCATTTCCTAGAATCTTACGGAAATGGAATCATTCCACAGGTACTCTTTTTCATGTGGCTTCTTTCATTCAGTCTGATTAATGAGATTAATGGAACAACATGGAAATTCATCCATGTTGTATCAGTAGTTCATTCCTTTTCTATAACTTAGAAGAGGTTCTTGACAGTGGGAATCAAGTCAAAGTTGCCTGTGAACAACAATTCCACATACCATTGTCTGGGAATCCCAGCTTGTACAGTCAGAAGATGAACCCAAAGGAGGAAGCCTTATCCTCATAACATCTGGCTTTTAGATGGATGTTGTATTCCATTTAGAAGGCTTCACAACTTCCATATATGTTACAAACATTTTTCAAGTATACAGTATCACATATCAATTTTAAAAATTGGGTTTTGGTTAGACATTTGAAGACACCGGCCAGAAAATATGGTAATGGCAACAGCTCTTAAATTCTTTTATTTTTAAGATGGAAAATATTTGAAAGGTAATAGAGATGTCTGCTTAGCAGAAAATAACTTATCCAAAGTTGGTTGTGTTCAGAGCCTCACAACAAACAGCTCTTTACCCCCAGGAGGAACGGAATAATAGACTAAGGTTGGGACAGCAGTGGGTGAGATCGTGAAGCCAGCTGGATTGGGCCCTTCCTTCTCCAGGATTCTCATGAGCTCTGCCCTCAGTGCCTCTGGATTTCTAACTGGGGGACCCAGGCTAGAGACTTGGGTTAATGAGATTTTGAGGAGTCGGTGAAGACAGTGGGCTGGAGATGCTCATTCCTGGCCCCACGATCTACCCTCCCCGCCACTGCCGGTGTCCTGGCCGGTGAGATACCGCTTCCCCTCTTCCCTCTCTTTCCACACCCCGCTTAATTTAAGCCCGATTCTTGCAGCTAGAGCTAAGATCTCCGCCAGTGGGCCGCACCTTGCACGGATCAGTCCGCAGTCTGCGATTCCGGGGGCGGGGGCAGTGGGGGCGGGGCGTGGTGTGTCGATTTACCCGGATCGACACTAGCACATTCCCCTTGTGGGTGTCCGCAACGCTCCGATCCCTAGCTGGGTTTGGGATTTCCTTCCCAACGTCAGGCCCAAGCCCACCCCATTCTTGCTCCACGGTCAATGAGTCAGCTCGGAGCTCTCCAGCTGTCGCCCTGACTGCTCTCCCGCGCGCACCTGAACCCAGGTGATTGCGAAGAACCCCGCATCCCGCATCTGCTCCTGGGGCGACCTCCCAGCGGAGCGCAGGCCGCCGCCGCCACCCCCTAGGACCCAGTCTCCCAGCTACTCCTCTGTGTCCACGGACTATCAATGAGGACAGCGGCTCCCTTCACCCTCTAGCTGGGACGGAGCCTCCCGCTTTCCCCGGCACACACGGGTCTGGGTGAGAGCGCCCCCTCCCGGCTTCCCGTAGCTGATTCTTACAGGTTTCCCCCGCGCCGCGCAGCCTCCTCCTTCCAGGAACCCCTTTCCTTCCCCCGAGGTTGGCCCCTGCCTGCTCGATCTCTAGTGAAACCTCAGTCTTATGAGCCCCCGAACACCGTCCTCTCAGACCCTCCCGCATCCCAGGGGCTCCTACTCATTGTTCCCCGGTCCTTGGGGCAGAGGAAAGTCCAACCGGGCGCTCCTAGGCGGCGTATGCCGCTGTGGATCCCCTCTCTGCTTTCTCACCTGCAAAGCTCCTCGCGGCTGACACCTCCTCCGCTCCTTATGCTCCACTTGATTTGATCATTTTCCCGGCCAGGCCACACGGGTTACTGTTTCGTCACCCCCACCCCATCTGCGCACTGCGGGGTCGGGTAGGGGAGGGACGGCAAAAAAACAGATCTCGCTGCCAACGTCACTCAGGCCAATGGGACAGCTTTCCCTTCTTGGCCCAAATGGAAGGGCTTACATCTTCATTTCAGCATGTTCATTCTTCCCAGGCTTACATTTTTAAGCATTTTAAGTCTAAATGGATAACTTTGTCTACATTGAAGGTAATTCAGGGGGGAGGGTATAGCCCAGTGGTAGAGTGTGTGCTTAGCATGCATGAGGTCCTGGGTTTAATCCCTAGTACCTCCATTTAAATAATAAACCTAATAAAAATAATAAAGTATTTTCAGGAATTATGTTCGTGATATTTTTCTATCGTTTCTGCAAGGTCCCTTACTTAATACTGCACTCCCATTTGCCTGGCCCTAGGGTTGGCCGTTCCATTCTAATTTTTGTTCTTATTTGTCCTGCCAAAAATGTGTTTTAAGTTTGCGTAAAAAGAATTGTACTCTTTCTCATTCAGCTTCTTTGCATGCAACGCTAGCATTTCCAGATCAGTGCATAGAGCTTCCGCCCCTTCTAACTGCTTCCATTCCACATGCTGGTCCACTGTGTTTTGCCTTTTTCATCTCCTGCCACCACCAGTGAGAGTGCAATCATCGTTCTCAAACATATCCCTCACCTGCAGCACTTCTCAAACAGTGTGCATGTGTAGCGCCTGGGTGTCTTGCCAAAGTGCAGGCTCCGATTCATCAGGCCTGGAGTGGGGCCTGAGACTCTGCATTTCTAGCCAGCTTCCAGGTGATGCCTATACCGCTGGTCCTGGGACCACATTTTGAGGAGCAAGGCCATTATGGGGCTCTGGGAGAATTCATTTTGTGTTGCCGGGCCACAGGGTTTGCTTTGATCTAATTGCATAAGTATTGCCCATCTGCTCCAGTCTGTCTGTACCACTTTACTCTGAACCAGCAGAGCAGGAGGGTAGAAGATATATATTTATGTGGAGCAGGGAAGAAGGCTTTCTCCTTGCTCTTGCCAAAATCCTGCCCCTCATTGTGTCTGGTCCGGGCCCAAACCTCCTCTCTCAATCAGAATGGCCCTAAGGCACCAGAGTGAAGCCCCTGGCCAGCAGTGCACAGCGAAGTCAGTGATGAATTCAAGATGGGCATCCAGGCTTCATCTCTGACAGGAACTTTTTAAATTTTTATTCTATTTTTATTTTATTTTTTCCTTTTATTCTTTTGTGGTTTTTCTTTTTCTTTTTGAACAGGAGATTTTAGAATAGGAGTTGAGAAGCCCTTGGGTCTTCAGTTAGGTTCTATTTCCTGCACTGCTTTCCCTGTAGTAGCCTGCAAGGGTGGACAAGGACTCAAACAACCTGGCTTTGCCCTTGGCAAGCAGCTATCCTGAGCTTGACTTCTCATCTCTAAAATGCGATAGTAACAGCACAGCTACAGTTAGTGGTGTGAGGAGTCAGTCCAGAAACTCTGCCCACATAACAAGTGCCCCACAGGGGCCCCAAAGTGTTCTTGCCTTGGTTTTAACCAAGAGAAAAATAAAGTTCAAGAAGGTTTAGCAATTTTTACCAAAAAGAAAGTGATAGTGCTGGTATTCAAACCCAGCCTCGGCTAATACACCAAAACCCAAGCTAACCACGAGGCTATACCAGCTCCATGCCATGCGTTGCCCTTTTTCAGGGAGAACTACAAGGCAAAAGGAAGGACTGTGCCTGGGGTTTCAGACACTGATGCTGAAAGCATCTGACTAGTAGCATGCAGGGTTATGAAAATCCACAGCAAACAGGTTTTAGCAAAACTGAACCTGGGTTCTAGGGGCTGGTCTTCAGGGCCTGAGTATTTAGGTAGCAGGAGAGGGGGCTTTGGGTTGCGGGCTTTAGGAGCAGGGATTTTAGATACACAGTGGGGTCAAGACTGAGCAGGAATTGAGGAGGGTCAGGGACTAGTTGGGGCTCAGGAGTGGAGTAGGGGTCAGATGGGTGGGTCTTACCTGTCCATCAAGGGCCTTACTTGTAATAACTGATCATTCACTGTTCTGTTTGGAGGGTTAGCTGATGTATGAACAACCAGCATTCTGGGCACCAAGGGATTCCACCTTCCAAGGCCTTCCTGGTGCTGTAAGCAGCTTGTTGGGTTGGTTTTAGCAACCTATGAGCTATGCTTCCCCGACTCACACAGCTGTGCAAGCATCCTCTGGCACCAAGCCCCAGTCCCAAGCATTTCACAATCAGAAGAGTTCAACACCTGCATGTTTTGAGATTTCATGGTGCATGACCTTTTACATCTTGTTCACATCCAATGCATCCTCTGTGTACCATTGTAGGACCCAAATTGTATCCATAACAGAACATTTCTCTGAAGGCCTAGGGAAGCTTTCTGCTCTTTAGAGTTCAATACAATATCCTGCAAAGTGCTTCACACATAGGTATTATTGGCTTTGACTCACAACAGCTCCGTGACAGGACCCACTTCATATCAAGGCTCAAAAGAATTAATTGGTCAAGGTCACACATTGCGTAGGTGGGTGGAATGGGACTCCTTGTTTTTCTACACCAAAGTCTTAAAGAGCAGGTGCTCTCTGGGAACCTCACTATCCTGATTGGCCCATTTCCCAGACTTGGAGATGTGGACTGAGGCAGGAGGTAGGAAGTCTAAGGAGTGGGGAATGTTTGGGCAGAAAGGTCTGGGAGGTGAATTGGCTTGAGGTCTTACAGGACTTCTGACCAGCCCTCTCCCAGCTAAGTTTCTGTCAGTGGGCCCTTTCTAGAGCCTGGGGAAGTGGAAAGAGGGGATTGTGGGAGGAATGGCAAGTCCGGGGTCACCCAGGTGGAAGTTTCTCTATGAATCTGAAGCTGAGCCAGTTCAGCAAGAAAAAGATGCTGCCAGCCGCTAAGAGGGCCCTGGTGGTGTCACCGCAGGCACGTGAGAGCTCTTGACAGCTTGGCCAGGCTCTGCCCCTGGTTAAGCCTTCTGCCCTAACCTCTCTTCTCAAAATCCCTGAATCTCTACACCAAGTACCTGCAGAATCAGCTTGAGGGAGGTGCCCAGAGGTCAGGCCAGTCTACCCTGCCAGCTCCAGCAACATCACGCAGGCCCTGACCAGTCCCTGCTAGGGATGGAAGGTCTGGGGCCTGCTGAGGCGGGAAGGCCCTGGGCCCACTGCCCTCCCTTTCCCCTGGGCCTCAGGCCGTAGGCCAGGGCTCAACAGACACAAGCAGCGGGATGGGGTTGCCCTTCTATTGGTCCAAGTCCTCAGCGTGGCCTGGGTGAGACATGGAGGTGAGGAGGCCCACGAGGCTCAGCAGTGTGGAGAAAAGCAGCAGGAAGGAGGCCGTGAAGAGCAGGGCAGGGAGGGCACTGAGCACCAGCAGCAGGACAGCCGGTAGCAGATGGCGCCACACTGCAGCCGCCACGGGCCACAAGGAGCTCAGTAGGTGGGAGCCGGTGGTGAAGAGCGCGTGGCACAGCGTCAGCGCCAGCAGCAGGTAGAGGATCCCCTCCAGACCCCACAGCACACGCTGCAGTGGTTGCCGCCAGCCTGATGTGGTCCACCACTGGGTCCAGCGAGGGGGCACATGGCACATGCACCAGCGCACCCAGACATCCCGTGTGACCCAGGTCGACCAGGGCACTGCACGCTGTGGCCCCTCGCCGGCCCCGATGGCATCTGTCTCCACTCGCAGCTGCTGCATCGTGGCTGGTGCACCTGGGGAGAGGGCCAGGCCAGCTGCAGGAGCAGCCCTGGAGATGCCTGGGACCTCAGGGCGGGTAAGGTGCTGGGGTCAGGAGGGTACCAGCATGGGTGGGGTGGGGCTTTGAGCTGGGGCCTGGGTCTTACCTCTGGGAAGAGCCACCTAAGTCATGTTGCTTCCTGCAGTGCCCAGGACAACCTGGCAGCCAGCCTTGAAGTCCCACTCTTACTCTCCCCACCCTCCCCAGAGGAGCCCCATTGTGACCCAGGCTGGGGTGGGGTCCAGCCAAGAGAGGAACCACTGTAGGGTGTGAGGCTTTCCTGAGCCTCTCTCCATGGACACTTCAGGCTGCTGAGGAGCCTCGTGAACACAAAGATATAGTTTCTCATGCTTTCTTGTGGGAAGCCCTCTCTAGGTCCCTGTCCCTTCACTGCTATCTGATATCCAGTCCCACTCTGCCCTTTTTCAAGGCTCTCTCTCTGGACCCTCATTCTCCAGAACCACAGAAGCCAGAATGACCGCCCCCAACCTACAGGCTCTGAGATGGCTAACACATCCTGCCCTGGGCTCCCTGTCCTTTATCTCACTTTTTACTGATGTCCTCACACTCAGACCTAGGGATCCACTGTCCATATCGTGGGGCCAGAAGTCTCCTGAGGTTCAGGCTGGGGGTTATCCTCCCAACTTCCCAGCTCAGGGTGGAGGAAAGGAGGCTTGAGGACAATTGGTGTATTTCTGGAGGGCTCTCAGGTCCGAGGGTGGAGGCAGAAAGCCAGGGCAAGCAGGGCCAAGGGCATGCCTCTGGCTCCAAGAAGTAGCCCCAGGCCCAGGAGCAGCAGCAGCAGAGCCGCCTGGAGGCTGAGTCGTCCTGTGATGGCCGCCGTGGGCAGGAGTAGAGCCTCCTGCTGTCCCGGACCCTCACCAGCTCCCTGACTCTGGCCCCTTATGAGATGTGTGTGCTGTGGCCGGGAGGGACTGGCAGGCCTGTGTAGAGAAAAGGTGGTTTTGGGAGGTTGACCACTTGCTCGCCTGTCCACCTGCCAGGCTGCTGCCCACTTACCGGTGGAGCAGGTCAAAGGCCAGGAAGCTGACCAGGAGCAGCAGCAGCAGAGAGGCCAGGCCAGTTGTGGAAAAGACTGCCTGAATTGTTAGCCCCAGTGCCCCCAGCCCTAGGACCCTGTCCACGAGCTGCGCCGGGCTAGGGCCCCAGGGGGACACGCATAGACCCACTGGGCTACCTGATCCTTCCCCAGCACCCAGGCCCCTGGGAGAAGCTGGGATAGGGTAGGCAAGGACTTGGGGCCTGGGAAAATGGAGCTGGGTCATGGAGGCAGATGGAGGTTACAGGAAGGACTAGTGCTCGGAGGGAGTGGGGGTGGGGTGGGAGCATGGGAGGGGGTGGGGCCCTGGCAGACACTCAAGGGTGAGCTCAGGCGGTGGGGAGTTGGGGCTCCTCGGGAATCTCCCCACATACCCACCCACCATACCCTCCTCACCTCCTCCCACTTCAGTCAGCCATTCTGAGGGGCTGGGCAGCTGGGGCATTGTGACATATTGCAAGGTGGGGCCTTGGGGTAAGGAGGGGGCTACAGCTTGATGGCTCTGGCTTAGGTGGGGCTTAGCCAAAATGAGGGTGGTGACTTTTGAGAATTAAGACTCATCCTCTTGCTTTTGCAAATCTGCTAATTCACTGCCCCAGGGCCCTCCCTTGGGGATCTGAGTTGCCAGGAAGGCATTCTAACCCCATCACTACTTGGGCAGCTGACCAAGGGAGGAAGGGCTGCTTTCCTTGTCTTGTTGTTTCCCAAGGGTATGTGTCCAAGGGCAAGTCACTCGATCTTTCTGTCCCCTCCCCTCTCCTCTCCCCTGAGAGTAGGGTGATGTCTGTGGGATTTTTCAGAACTGCAGCCCTGGAATGCAGGGATACACTCTGCTAGGAAGCAACCTGAGGCTTTCTGGGGCGGCGCTCCTGTTACGGAAACGACAGGCCGGTCAAGAAACAAGCACCAATCGGAGGGTTGGAGTACTCAGATGTATTACGCCAGCGGGCTCAGAGGGGCTTCTGCTCCGAAGCTCTGAGCACCTCCAAGACGTGTGCATGAGGTTTTATAGGGTAAAGTACAAGCTTGGGGTATTAGGCCAATAGGCATGGAACAGCTTTAGCAGCATTATCATCACAAAAGTGGAGGTGCGGAGGCAGCAAACCAACATTCCAAAGCCAGATATGTATCTTTGAAAACCCAGCTGGCTAGCAAAAAACATGAACAGCAAACCAACACTAATTAACCTAGATTTACAAGTGAGTCTAATAGAACTCAGGTCAGTATTCCAATACTTAGATTTGTGAGTTATCCTGTTAGCCCAGCCCAGCCTCTCCTTCACATTCCTAGACCTGTGAGTTATCTTGTTAGACCACCCCAGCTTTTCCTTCACACTCCCACATGCCTGCTCAATGGGGGTGGGACAGGAGAGGGCTGTTTAGGCGTCTGAAGCACTATGGTTTGTGGGAGGTGTTCCAGATACTGAGATTCCAGAAATGGAACACAGAATGTGAATGTAAGAGGGCTACAACATTGTAAACCCCCAACTGGAGGTTAAGGATACCCTTGGAGTATGGAATTAAGGAAAATGAATATTTATGAGGGTATCAGTCACCTGGGAAAGATCCTCTCACCACGGAGAATCTGTAAATGGTTGCAGAGTTTCCAACATATCTTAGTTTAGTGACTTGAGAGGCAGGAGTGGAAATGGGTTATAATTGAGAGAATTTAATAGTTGTTCATGTGTCATACTATGAGGGAAAACTGATGGGGAAGAGGGTGGGGACAGTGGATATTGTTGACTGAAATACATGTGCAGCCTAGAAGTTGAGTTATGTTTTATTTGGCGGGAGGACTCGAGCTGGGATGACAGCCTCTCAGATCCGCTCTGACGTCTGCTCTGAAGAGGTAGGGGAGGAGCTAGGATATATAGAAGCTTTACAACAAAGACCAGGTTGTTGGAGCAATAAAAGATTCTTTGTTATCTGAAGAAAACCAGGCATCTCAAGTTAAAGAATTTAGTGCTTTTCTCTATGTATGGGAGGAAGGAAACATTTGGGCTCATTGAACTCATTCCTTTGACAAGCACCTAGCTATTTAGGGCCAGTCTTGTCCTTTCTTATTGAGTCCCCTCTGAGTGCACCATTGTGAGTGGCTGCAGAGGCTGGGCTGCAGGCTTGTCTTTATGGGGTGGTGGTGGCAGTGGCTGATGATTTGATGGCTTCAGCGTTCTTTGTTTACTGATATGGTTTGCAGTATTTTTGGTTCACAATATACAGCCCCTAAGAGAGGAGACAGAGCAAGAATCCAGCTGCATCTCTGTAGTAGGGAATAACCTTTGTTTTGTTGGAGGTTTAAAGGGACATCATGACCTAGCGCGTGGGGATGGCTGCAAGAACAAAGAATGCCTGCAGCAAGAAGATTACAACAATCAACCACATCCCCTCCCTTATTTTTTGTATAAAAGGAGCCTGTATTCTGACTAGAGCAGGATGGTTCTCCAAGACATTAGTCTGCTGTCCTCTCAGTCTGCTGCTATTCCTTGCCCCAACACCGCATCTCCCGATTTACTGGCTTGTTGGGCAGCGAGCAGAATGAGTTTGGACTCGGCAACATATCTACCTCCAGTGGGCCCTATCCAAAGACTCAAGCTTGGTGGCCTTGGCATCTTTGGTGGTAATGGGCTCAACAGCTTTTGAGGCATTCATCAATTGCCTTTTTCTGATTCTTCCCAGAGCGATAAAGCGATGGCTACAAAATTAGGAGGAAAAATTATTTCCAACCTAGCAATATGTTATCTGTCTAAATGGTTATCAAGTGTAAGGGTAGAATAAAGACATTTTAAGCCATACAATGTCTCAAAAATTTGACCTTGCATACACTTCCTTAGGAAGCTGCTGGAGGATGTCCTTCAGAAAAATAGGAATTAAACTTAGAAGGAAGATAATATGGGATTTAAGAAATGAGGTGAAACACTGAAGAGGGATGATGAGAAAGGCCTGAGATGTCAGCTATGTTTCCAGGCGGAGAAAGCAAGCAATCCAGCCTGGAATCAAAAGATAGATGCTCTAGGAAGGATGTCTCCAGAAGAAAATGGTAACAATGACCTGCTGTTTTTAGACATATGCAAAATAAATGTTCAGTTCCCTTGGAAGCTTTGGGATTGAATTAGCAATTGGTCCCTAGACAACCAAATAAATCATGAATCAAAGTGTTTGCTAATGCCAGGGAACACAAAAAGTTAAACAATAATATTTACATAGTCATAGTATAAACATAATATAAACACTGAATATTAACTCCTCTTTGGGAGGATGGCAGGAGACAATGTGTATCTTGGTGTATTTTGGTGTGTGTTGGGGGGAAGGGTGGTAGGAAAGCTAAATCCTTAATTCCATAGCAGGAAGTCTACAGATAACACCTAAACATAAAAATCCAAGAAACAGCAATAGAAGCATGGAGGTAAATACAAGGAAAAAATAACAAACGAAACTAAAAGTGGGTGACTTGGGAACAGAGAATCAAAAAAACAGTCTTCTATTACAAGCCTAAATGTGATTTCGCTTTAAAATTATATTCTGTGGTATTTTGATTAAAAAACGATTTAGTTTTTAAAAAAGCAAATCAATATATGGTCCTATGGTGCAGGTCAGGATGATACCTGCCTAGGGTGAATGAAATACCAGTTTCCTAATGTTAGGTGGATGTACTCTTGTGGCTTGAGATAAAATTTGCAGCAACAGCGTCAAAAATCATCAAAGTTAGCTGTGAATCTCATGCATTTTAGATGGAGTTGCTTAACCTCCATCTAGTGCTTCTCAACTTTTAATGTGCACATGAATCTCCTGGGGTTGAAGCCCCTGGGGATCTTGTTAAAATGCAGATTCTGGTTCAGTAGGTCTGGGGCTGGAATTCTGCATTTCTAATAAGCTCCAGGGGATGCTGATGCTGTTGGTCCTTAGCTACACTTTGAGGAGCAAGGCTCTAGAAGACATTGATGTACAAGAGAGCTAGCTGGAGGAGGTAGTGGTGAGTGGAGATGGCGGTGATGGGAGATGCCTCCCCGTGCATTTAGGTACCATGGGAGTCTCCATCAATGCTCACCTACATCATAGGGAGACCACCTACTGGGGAGACTAGGAGGCACAGGCAAGGCAATAGATTTGGCTTCTTTTCAATTTGTGCAGCCGGACACATAGCCTCCTTTCTTCTCCTGACATTGTTTTATTCCATCCGTGCATGTGGGAGCAAGAGTACTGTGTTAAGCAAGAGGATTGTGTTATTCATCTGGTTAACTTAGAGGTCCCCAGGAACCACATATTGTCTCACTTCATCACAGCAACCCTAAGAGGATAATATTATCATTCCCATTTTACAGATGAGAAAACTGAGGCTCAGAGAGATGAAATTACTTCCAGGGGTACCCAAACAAAATGAACAGCAGAAGTGAGATATGACATTAAGCCTGTGTGGCACCAGAGTCATCTATCGTCTTCACCTCCAGCCACCTGACCATGCTGGGAAGCTGACAGTAGAGTCCCAGACCATCTCTTAAGCCAAATCCCTTTGGGGCAAGTGTCTCCATCCAGTCTTCTGAGCCCTGCTCTGCTGTGCTTTGCACCATATCCTTGCTCTTGTGAGGTCACGAGAAATGCTCCACCTGGGTCCTGGGGCTAGAGATCTGGCTGTGCAACTTGCACCCTGGGAGCTGCCACCTTCAGACCCTACTTCCAGGCTTGGCACCTTTACAGCTCCAGGTAACCAAGTAGCAAGGGCTAAAGGCAGCAGCTGGGCAGGGAGCACAGAATGGATGAGGAAGTTATGAAGGTGCTGAGGGGCTCAAGGCCACAGAGGGCACAAAGGGACCCTGAAGGTGGCAATAGGGCAGAGAGGCAAGGGGTACAGAGGGGTGAGGAGAGGGATGAAGGGGTGCAGGGGACACAAGAGGTATGAGCATTCTGCAGACCCGAGCCCCTACGGGATCAGCAGGAGATGGCAAGCGTGCCCCCTCCCACCAGTCCCTTTGGGGGCAGGTGTCCCAATTAATGGCCTGCCATCTCTACTCCTGCAAAACCTGGCATTGTTGCGGAGGTCAGCTTCCCTCCAGCCCTGCTTGGTCCCCTCTAAACTTGAATATATTATATACATACTTTTGAGCACTGACTGGAGACCAGGCACTGTTCTAAGTTCTGAGGTACAGTTGTGAACATTTTGGGTACAAAAGGCTCTTCTGGGGTTGCTTATCTCCTGCTAGATGGGGGTGGGGACCAGACAGTAAACATACAACAAATAAAACAAGATAATCTCAGATAGTGTTGAGTGTCTTGAAGACAATAATAAAACAGAATGAGAGGATAAGAGTATGTATGGAGGACAGAGCTTACTTTTGTCAGAATGGTCGATCAGGGAAGCAGGTGACCCTGAAAGGTGATCAGAGTGATGAGGATGCAAACGTGGTGAACCAGTGCAAAGGCCCTGAGGCTGGATGGGGCTGGTGCATGGGAGGAATAGCTAGAATGCCTGTGTGGCTGGAGGGATATGAGCCAGCGGGAGAAGACAGGGTGATGAGATGGGCAAGGTTGTGGGTGGAGAAGAACCTTGTCAGGAACCACCTTGCAGGTGAGCCCCCTCGGATATAAGTCAGGAGGAGCTTGACACGATTTGGTTGCTGTGGCGAGTAGGGGAAAGGCTTGGAGGGCGTGGAAGCCTCAGGAGGCTGAGATGTCCTAGTCGGGTTCATCCTCGACCCACTCGCACCCCTCTGTGAAACTTGGATGAGGATGGGATCCGAGCCAGGGAAGTGGATAGACTGGGTTTTGACAGGAAGTAGAGCAGCCCTCAGGACCTGTATAGACCCGCTTCTAGCTCCGCCGGAGCCTCTCCTGGCCTCCCACTTCCGTGAAGCCTGGGGCCGCCGGGCCGGCTTTCTGCCGCTGACCCAGCCCTTCAGCGTCAGGGCGCCCTCCTTGAGTTTTTCTAGATCCCCCTCTGGTGCCTGGGACCTGGCAGTGCCGTCCAGGAGGGGCGCTCCAAGGCGGGAGCATGACCTACGGGCGTCCTGTTCCGGTTACTCGCTTTCGGGGATTCTCCTCCCCGAGAGCATGAGGTGGACCAGATGCCTGGCGGAGCTCCCGGACTCGCGTTTGTGAGGCTCGTTCTTACTGGAGGCGGGTCTTAACTCCCAGAGCGCATATTTCTTTCGAGAGATCTAGCGAGATTAGGCCGCCAGAACGGTGCTGACACGCTGATTTGGGGTAATTCAAATTGTTCATATGGATACTGGCCTTGCAAAAAACATTTGTTCAGAGGCCCTGCGCACTCCAGAGGATTCTTGGCCATCTCTGCTCATCGCTTCTTACATGGGGATGGCAGTGTCTCCCTGGCGGGCTCCTCGCAAGGGCAAAGCACCAGCCAGAGGCGCACAATGGACGAATTCCTTCCTTTTGGGAGGTGACCCTAGCGTGTGGAAGCCAAAGGGGACCTCGGAGGGGGATGGGGAGGGTCCTGCGCTCAGGAATCTGGGGATCGGGGGCTAGTCCCGAAGACAGAGACCCACAACTGCTGGCTCCCGGAGGAGAGTGAGGCTCTGGAGGGCAGGACGCACACCAAGCCTCGCCCCTCCACCCTCGGCCCCAGCCCGCTGGGTATAGGCTCGGGCTCCTCATCTTGGGTTATATAACCCCGGAACGTGGCAACCGGGTGAGCAAAGGCGGAGGGGGGGGGGGAGGAAAGGAAAAGAGAGGAGAGGCGGGGGAGAGGGGGAAGCGCCGCCTCTGCTTGGGCCCCTTGGGTGTCCTTCCGAAGGCTTCCTGGAGGGCAGCCCTCCCCAACCCGTACCCCAGCCGCCACCTCAGTTTCCCCTCACTCTTCTGTCTATCACACCCGTCCCGGCAGGGGGCTCTGGCTCTGGATAGATTTCTCTCGAGTTGTAGTTTCCTCCCCAAAGTTCTAAGCTTCGCTGCCGCGGCTAGGTCAGCCGCTTGGAGCCTCAGTTTCCCAGTTTGTAATATGAGATTTGAGAGGCCACATGTAAAGCAGCTGGCATCGTGCATGGTACACAGCGGGTGCCCACTGTGGGACGGGAGCCTCACAGGATTGCGGGGAATCGAGGGCTCCGAGGGGCTTTGCCGATTGTAAGGGGCAGCACTCGAGCGAAGCGGGTGAGCTCGGGGACCGAAGAGGGAGGGGTGGGGTCGGTGGGTGCAGAGACCTTGGGCAGCCGACCCCTTCGTTCCCCTCCTCCATCCTCTCCCGTGTCCCTTCCTCCCTTCCCTTCTCTTCCCCTCTCCCCCCTCCTTTCCCCTCCCCTTCCCTCCCTTCCCCACTCCTCCCCTCCCTCCTCCCCTCCCCCGCTCCCCTCCCCTCTCCTCGGCACCCCTCCCGGGTCCGAGGCCAGCGAGCGGGCTGTGGGCGGGCCGGAGGCCGCAGGGGGCGTGCGGCGGCGGCAGGAAGGGGCGGGGGGCTCCGGAGCCCCGGCAGGAAGAGGTAAACCCACCAGCGGCCGAGGGTTTCGCGCGTCCCCACCTTGAACCCCGCCATGTGGGGTCTCCTGCTCGCCTTGGCCGCCTTCGCGCCTGCCGTCGGTTTAGGTCTGGGGGCACCCAGCGCCTCCGTGCTGGGCCTGGCGCCGGCCGCGACCACCGAGGCCCCGGTCTCGACCCCGGCCCCGCGTAGCAGCCCGGCACAGCCGCCCGCGGGGAAGGAGAACGGTGAGTTCCCGGACCCACCGCCCGCTTCTCCCGCAAGTCGGTTGCCCCACTCCCCCACCCGCCGTGTGCCGACCTTTCCCTGGCCCGCGCGCACGCACACACACACACACACACACACCCCTCCACGCCGCACACACCCCACTCCCTGCCCGGCGCCTGTGTGGCGACCCTTCCCCGCGCACACACACTCACACACACTCCCTTCCCCGTGCAATGGCTGCTGACTCAGCAGCCTCACTTCCCGGCCAAACCAAGTCAGTCGGCCTGGGACAGGAGCCAGCGGAATGCTGCCTCTTCCAGCCCCAAACCTTCCCTTTTCACAGATGAGGAAACTGAGGCCAGAACCAGAAGGAGGGGAGAAAGATGCAGACAGAGGCAGGGAGACTAAAAGGCGCGGAGCGAGACAGACTATGTGGGAAGAGCTTGAGGCGGGGCGGGGGCGGGGGCAGGAAGGAAAGGGCCGGAGGACAGGAGGAGCAGCCTGGTTTGCGAGGCTGCCTGGAGGATCGGGACACTGTCTAGGGAGGCTGAGAGGCAGGTGGCCTGGCTTCCCAACTTTTCAAATGTGGGAGCAGGGAGGGGAAAGCAAGAGGATGGCAGCCACGGAGAGCTTCTCAGGAGAGGCAGGTGGAACTGGTCTGGAAGGGTTTCTCTGAATTAGGGAAAGCCGAAGAGGAGGGCAGCCAAGAAGGACAGGACATTTCAGCTTAGTGGGCAGACACAATGATGGAGGTGACACAGAGGCTTTGAGCATGACACCAAGTCTGGGCTAAGAAGTCTCCTTGAAGGGCATGGGGGCTGAGATGTGAAGGAAGAATGGAAATAAGGCAATAAAATGAAGTGGTGGATGGGATGACAGGGGAGGGGTCAGCCAGGGCAAAGAAGGAGGTAAAGAAAAAATTCAGCCCTATGGAGCAAGCAAATAGCTCCTGGGGCAGTGTCGCTCTTTATTGGCGAGGGCCAAGCCTGTTGTCATGTCAGAGGGGAGAAGGAGCCAGGGAAGTGACTAGAGAGGTGGGTTGGGGTCAGACTGCGGGCCTTTCAGTTCATGCTAAGGTCGTTAGATACTTGTGGTGGGGTCTGTTGTGGGCTTGTGGGCTTTCTTGGGCAGACCTCTCCATCTGGGGTTTCTTGCCATCCTTCCCTTCCCTGGTGCTGTGTTCCCTGGTCCCCAGGGACCTCAGAACAGCATATCCGGATTCGAGTCATCAGGAAGAAAAAGGTCATTGTGAAGAAGCGAAAGAAGCTAATTCGCCCCATACCGCCAGTGACTGCCAGGCCTTCAATGACTGCCAGGCCTTCAACGACTGCCAGGCCTTCAACGACTGCAAGGCCTTCAACGACTGCCAGGCCTTCAACGACCACCAGCCCTGTAGGGGCCTTTGACCTCCCTGAGAAGCAAGAACCAGGTACCACCACTCCAGGGGCCTCGCCCAGACCCGCAGTCTTTCGGGCCTGTACTAACGGAGCTCTTGGCCTCCCGGGCATAGACACGCCCCTAGCCTGTCCAGCACACAGGCAAGCTTAGGCTCAGCTTCCCACCTGCCCTGACCACTCTTTCTCTGGTCCCATCTCGCTGCTCTGCCCTGTCCCAGGTTGTCCCCCTTTGGGCCTGGAGTCCCTGCGAGTTTCAGATAACCAGCTCGATGCATCTAGCAGCCAGTCCTTTGGTCTTGGACCACACCGAGGACGGCTCAACATCCAGGTCAGCAACCTTGCCTCCGAGCAAGGCAACCCCTAGCACCTTCTTCCCTGCCCCTCCCCACCTTCTGTTCCGGCCTACCCGACACTGCCCACCTGGCTCTGATTACTATGTCCTGTGCCCACAGTCAGGCCTGGAGGATGGTGATCTTTTTGATGGGGCGTGGTGTGCCGAGGAACAGGACGTTGAGCCGTGGCTTCAGGTGGACGCCAGGCACCCCACCCGCTTCTCAGGCATTATCACCCAGGGCAGAAACTCCATTTGGAGGTGAGGCAGCCTAGCCCCAGGCCCGGAAGTTCATGGGCAGACTCAGGAGGGATGGGGTGGGAGTCCTGCGGACCAACCATGATCTCTCACCACCTTTCCTGCCAGGTATGACTGGGTCACATCTTACAAGGTCCAGTTCAGCAATGACAGTCGGACCTGGTGGGGGAGTAAGAACCGCAGCAGTGGGATGGACGCGGTGAGAGGTCCCATGGTGGCTGGGGCCTTTTATGCTGGGAGTTGGGCTCCTGGCCCATTGTAGGGGGCTGGGCTGGGCTGGGACTCCTCTGAGGACAAGGAATAGGTGCCCACTTGGGCATCCCAGGAGAAAGGGGATTGTTGTCAGGATGGATGGTACCCAGCAGGCAGCCTTAGGAGCCACACTGCTTTGGACCATATACATATCCTCCCCAAATACTTTCTCCGTGGAGTGGGTGCCACTTCATGCCTCAGTCTCCTGCTGAAACACCCCTTCTGGCAATGGGCTTCTGGTCCTTGCATCACTTCTCACTTCCTCATAGCTCTGGCTTCTCTATCTCATGGACCTCTTTTGACCCCAGGCTACAGTGTGAGGTCCTGGCCAGCTTCAGGACTGGCTGCTCCTGAGTCAGGTGGCCATACTTGTCCAAGGAGCTGTGACTGAGCCAGAAAGCTTGGCCTAGGGCTGCCCGTTGGCAAAGGCTGTGGGCAGGGGTCTGTGTTTGACACAGAGTGCAAGTCTCCAGATAAGCCCACCAGTGTGGGTTTTTCAGTGAATGGGGAGGCCTGAGCTGCTTCCCTGGGTCCTGGGCTGGGCTGCTGCTGGGGTTCAAGCTACCCTGACAAAGGACTTGATGCTCCCAGGTGTTTCCTGCCAACTCGGACCCAGAGACCCCAGTGCTGAACCTCTTGCCTGAGCCCCAGGTAGCCCGCTTCATTCGCCTGCTGCCCCAGACCTGGCTCCAGGGAGGTGCATCTTGCCTCCGGGCAGAGATCCTGGCCTGTCCAGTCTCAGGTGGGCAGTCAGACAAGGGCTGGATGGGCAGGGTGCTCCCTCCACTGTGAACTCAACCTTTACTGTGAATTCACCCTCTAGCAGATCCTAACAGCCTGTTCCCTGAGGTCCCCATGCTGGGATCCTCTGACCCACTGGACTTCCGGCATCACGATTATAAGGCCATGAGGAAGGTCAGGCATAACCCCTATGACCCAGCTTGGAGGATCTGCCCGTCTCAGGTCCCCTGCCCACCAGGGCATAACTTGCTGTGAATGCCCTCATGTCCTCCCCCATCTCATCCTAAACTACTCCAGTTTCCCTTGTTGTGGTGCCTCCCTTGTTCTGACCCTTCCTTCCGGTCTGCTACTGCCCCCTCCTGTACCGTGCCATGGTGTCCCCATCTGAGTGGGCCACCACTGGCTTTAGAAGTTCTTTGATGGGCACATGTGATCTGGGTCTGATCCTCTCATGCCCTGTGCCGCACCACTCTCTGCCCCATCCCCAGCTGATGAAGCAGGTGAACGAGCAGTGCCCCAACATCACCCGCGTCTACAGCATTGGGAAGAGCCATCAGGGCCTGAAGCTGTATGTGATGGAAATGTCGGACCAGCCTGGGGAGCATGAGCTGGGTACTGGCAGATGGGGTGGGAGGGGAGGGCTAGGGGCGGGAGCCAGGGGCGGGAGCCAGCTGCAAGTCCCTGTGTGCTCCCAGGAGAGCCTGAGGTGCGATACGTGGCCGGCATGCATGGGAACGAGGCCCTGGGGCGGGAGTTGCTCCTGCTCCTAATGCAGTTCCTGTGCCGCGAGTTCCTGAGAGGGGACCCGCGGGTGACCCGGCTGCTCACGGAGACACGCATTCACCTGCTGCCCTCCATGAACCCTGATGGCTATGAGACTGCCTTCCGCCGGGTAGGCCACGTGGCCAGTCTGCTCCTTCTGCCCTGGTGCCTGGAGCCTGCTTGGCTTGAACAAACCCCATCCCTGGCAGGGCTCGGAGATGGTGGGCTGGGCAGAGGGCCGCTGGAACCATCAGGGAATTGATCTTAACCATAATTTTGCTGACCTCAACACACCACTGTGGGAAGCAGAGGATGATGGGCTAGTGCCTGACACTGTCCCCAACCATCATCTGCCACTGCCTACTTACTACACCCTGCCCAATGCCACTGTGAGTATCCTGGGGGCAGTGGTGGAGGGCCACCCTGGGGGCCTTTGTGTCTTCCGCTCCTCCTGACCTGTCCTCATCCAGGTGGCTCCTGAAACTCGGGCAGTGATCAGGTGGATGCAGCGGATCCCTTTTGTGCTAAGCGCCAACCTCCACGGGGGTGAGCTCGTGGTGTCCTACCCCTTCGACATGACTCGGACTCCGTGGGCGGCCCGCGAACTCACACCTACCCCAGATGAGGCTGTGTTTCGCTGGCTGAGCACTGTCTATGCCGGCACTAATCGGGTCATGCAGGACCCAGATCGCCGACCCTGCCACAACCAGGACTTCTCCTTGTATGGCAACGTCATCAACGGGGCTGACTGGCACACAGTCCCTGGGAGTATGTGCCCGAGGGTGGAGTTAGCCCCATCTCCTTAACTCTGCCCCAGTACGACAGTCGGCTGTCACAGTGCCGGTGTCAGTTGTCACCGGCAAGTGTCTCCCAGAGGAGGGGACCAGGGGGCGGGGCTCCCATCCTGCCTCTCTAGGTTCCAGTGTCTGTGGTACCCCTAGGCATGAATGACTTCAGTTACCTACACACCAACTGCTTTGAGGTCACTGTGGAGCTGTCCTGTGACAAGTTCCCTCACGAGAATGAGCTGCCCCAGGAATGGGAGAACAACAAAGATGCTCTTCTCACCTACCTGGAACAGGTGGGATCCAAATCCCCTAACCCCTAGCCTGCCTGGGTCACTCCTGGCCCTTCTGTTCTCCATGTCAGTTGCAGCTGCCAACAGGAGTCTCCTAAGGTCAGGCTGAACGTCCTGACTCACAGGTGCTGTGGGTCACACTTGGCACCAGACTGACCCGGAGAGATGTAGGACAGGAAGCACGGTTTGCCAGTAGGGCGGCGGCGGACATTGTTAGCGGGTCGGAGTAGACCTGACAGCAGTCTAGGCAGTGGTCCATGGAGCCGACCCAGAGCTGTTCTGAGAAAAGGCTCAGATGATGCAAGTGCAGGAGGTGCCCTGGCACAGACGCTGCACTTTCCACAGGAACTCATGTCCCTGGAAATGGCTCCGTGAATATAGTGTCCAAGGTTCTAAATGACAAGTCCAATAAGAAGAGTCACTGAACTTGGGGAAGCCCAAGGATATGCCCTCCTCCTGGGTACTTAGTTCTCCCGGGCCAGATGCAATTTATCAGTCAGGAGACGTTTTCACCAGAGTATTGTCACCTGGGAATTGAGTACACATACTGCCTCTATCCGATTTGCAGGGAACAGAGCCAGAAAATGAACTGAAAGTCACATTTTCATGCAGAAGGGAAGGGGATTTGATAACCTTTTCCCACGCAGGTGCGCATGGGCATTGCGGGAGTCGTGAGGGACAAGGACACAGAGCTCGGGATTGCTGATGCTGTCATTGCGGTGGATGGGATCAACCATGATGTAACAACAGGTATGTGTGGGGGGACGGGGTGGCGGCGGTGGGGGAGGGTCTAGCCTCGGTCAGAAGCTGAGGGTCACTGGACTGTGATCTTGCCCTTCTCTCCTCAGCATGGGGCGGGGACTACTGGCGCCTGCTGACCCCTGGGGACTACATGGTGACCGCCAGTGCTGAGGGCTACCACACAGTGACACGGAGCTGCCGGGTCACCTTTGAAGAGGGCCCTGTGCCCTGCAATTTCCGTCTCACCAAGACTCCCAAACAGAGACTTCGCGAGCTGCTGGCAGCTGGGGCCAAGGTGCCCCCGGATCTTCGGAGGCGGCTGGAGCGGCTGAGGGGACAGAAGAATTAACACCTCCAGCTGAAAAGCCCCAGAGCCTTGGGCAGGCTGGTCCTGTCCAGAACTGAAGGAGGAGATGCCAAGGGTGGGGCGGGGGTGGGGGGAGGGACGAAGTGGGGGAAGAGGCGCTTGGGCTCATTAAAGCTGCGTGGTACCTCAGCCAATCTTCCCATGGTGTCTGTGTCCCAGGTCCTCCCCCTGGGCCAGGCCTTGACATCCCCTCCTCCTGGGTCCTATTCTGCACATGCTTGCATCCTCTCATTAGCTGACTTCTGGAAAAAGTGTAGAAAGCAGATCCCACCTGGGTTCTTACTGAACGAGGGCTTGGCAGAGGCACTCGTCTCATCAGCTCCTTAACTTCTGCAGCAGGCGCCACTGCTGGTGGTACCGTTAAACGTTCTGTAAGCACCTGCTCAGGGCCAAGCATGTAAAGAGCCGAGGATAAACGGTGCTCATCCAACCTCCTGGGGCTCGCAGTCAAGAGCTGGGACTGTTAAGTATAGTGTGAGGCGTGCCAGGGCGGAGGCTGCCTGCTGTGGGATCCTAGACGGGGAGTTGCACACAGGGGAGGGGAATACAGCACCGCAGACCAACGGGGACTCAACTGTCAGGATGCGATGGAGGTGATGGCTCTTGGAGTTTAGATGGAAGGGAGGCCAAGGACAGGCCCATGAAGGAGAGAACCAAAGAGAACAGATGAAAGCATTTGAATTTGCTTCACTGCGATTTTTGGAGAGTGTTGGCAAATGGCAGGATTTGATTAGTGTGTTTCAGACCGCAGGATAAGATCTGTGTCAATATCTTGCCAAGAGAACAACCTGCCTTAGGTATTTCAAGCAGAGGGAAATTTAATGCTGGATATTGGATATAAAGATGTTGGAAGAGCTGGGTGAGAAAAATGGAGGAGTTTTTAACTTAGAAATCAGGAAGCTGAGAACACCCTTGGTCTGGTGTTGATAAGCTTGTCCCTGCTGATTCTGATGCTGGGGCCCACCATCACCGTCACCTGTGGCCACCTAGGCCAGCAGTGATTACTTGTGGTCACCTGCCATGGCTAGAGTCAGAAGTAGAATAATTTTTCCTTTCCTTCCACTTTCTAAACTCCAACATATGAAGTCCACTGGCAAAAATCTAACCGTAACCTAGTTTGCAAAGAAGCCCACAAAATGTAGTTTCCAGGTTCCTAAGCCCCCTGCAGTTTGGAGGAGAGCTTGCAAGAGCAGGAATGGGGCAAATACTAACAGGCAAAATATGGCACAAATATATCCACGAAGCCTGTTGTGTAAGCGCTGCCTAGCGCTGGGCTGTGGTATTGTCTCTGTTTCTCAAGATGTCTGTCTCTGCCTCTCACATTTTCAATCTCAGATCACTAAGAGGGATTTAGTGCCACATCTCCCATCTCTCTGCTCCTTTTCTCCCCACCTCCAAGCATCACCTTTTCAAAAACATTGTTCTGATTCATCGAAGTTTAATGCATATACTGAAAAGTACACAGAAGCGCACAGTTTATTGGCAAAGCAGATTAAAAGACATGACACGACTATATATTACAGTAAATTCACTTGAAGTGTAAAGATATAGACACCTCGAAAGTAAAAGAATAAAAAGGTGCATCACGCAAACATTAAACAAAGGAAAGCAGGAGTGGCTATCTTAATATCAGACAAAGTTGACTTCAGGGCAAAGAAAATTACCAGAGACAAAGTGACATTATATAATGATATAACTGAACACACCCAGGCTTGACTGCTGGAAGTTTCCAGTGATCTCTCCCTTCTCTCTTAGGTAGCCTGGAAAGGGCTAGTGCAGCGTAACCGAAATGGCATGTGAACTCCAAGCTCTGGATTTTCCCCACTTCTAGCAAGACATTTCCCTGGCCGGAAACTCCCTCTATTACATAGTTGTCAAGGGGTCCCCAGGTTCCTCCTACCATCCTCATAAATAGGTAAAGTGCTATGAGAATGGAGTCCCTCTCCTGGAGCTTGGCGGGGAGATTATTTTATTATTTTTTTAATGGAGGTACTGGGGATTGAACCCAGGACCTTGTGCATGCTAAGCATGCGCTCTACCACTTGAGCTATACCTTCCCCACATTCTGGTGCTTTTAAACAGTGAGATCAGCTCTTCCTGGCTGGCAAGCTATCTTTTGGATAATGGGACTTTGGGGCATTATATGCATTTATCCCAACTCTTTGCCTAGAAGTTTCCTCCAATAAACCCTTATTTATGCCTGCCATGTATCATTAGAGGTGTTTGCCTTTGCTTTACACCCGACATATATCACAAGATGAAGAGCACTTCACCTAATCTAGCAAAACTGCAGGCACACGTGTCCCTATTCATGGGTGTACAATATATACATCGAGACACTCTTGCACGTGTACAAAAAGATACATGAATGCTCACAGCAGCTTTAATTGTAATAGACCCAAACTGGAATCAGCCCAAAAGTCCCTCAAGAGTAGAATGGAGAATGGAAAATGGTACATTTAGGCAGTGGAATTATATACAGGAATGAAAGCAAACAGCTACTATACACAACATGGATGATTCCCAAAAAAACAATTTTGAGTGAAATAAGCAAAACACAAAGGAAAATTGAATCATATTGTTTATGGAGACATAAAATAATAAAAGCAAAGACATGATTATGATAAAAGTTAGGATAGTGATTGATTCTGGGAGGAGCAATGGAGTAACAGACCAGGAGGTGAACATGGCGGGGGCGGGGGTGAGGGGGCACTGCTGAAGTGTTAGCAATATTCATTTCCTTTATCTGGTGGGAATCCTTTGGTGTTCACTTAGAAATATACGTTAAACTTTGTGTGAACATTTTATAAACTTAGAAAGTACTTGTTTTCATTTATTAAAATATTACATGTAATAAAACCCACTTTTTAAATGTATACTTCAATGAGTCACGTATACAGATTCTTAGAACCACCACCATAGACACAGACATAAATAATTCCCTTGTGCTGTCCCTTACATTTGGACTCTCCTCCCATCCCAACTCTAGGCAACCACCGATTACTTTTCTGTTCCTCAATTTTTGCTTTAGCTCAATGGACTCTCAGGAGGATAAACCTAAAGAGATCTACATCTAGACATATTATCAAACTGTCAAAAAACCAAAGACAAAAAGAGAATCTTAAAAGCAGTAAGAAAGCAGCAGTTCATCCTGTATAGGGACCACAAAGGGTTCTTTTGTCTATTTAAAAACTTGGGTAGTTTGTTTTCTTATTTTTGAATGTTGAGAGTAGGATATAAGTCCTTTGTCTGATATGTGATTTGCAAATATCTTCTCCCAGTCTCTTGCTTGTCGCTTTATTCTCTCGCTAGAGTTCTTTGCAGAGAAGTTTTAAATTTTGATAAATTTGGTTTATCAATTTTTTCTTTTATAGATGGTATTTTTTTGTGCCCTATCTGGTAATTCTTTGACTAACCAAAAATCATGAAGGTTTTTTCCTATATTTTCTTCTGAGAGTTTTTTAAAAAGTTTTTATTGAATTATAGCTGATTTATAATGCTGTGTTAGTTTTGGGTATACAGCAAAGTGATTCAGTTATATATATATTCTTTTTCAGTATTCTTTTCCATTATGGTTTTATTACAGAATATAGAATATAGTTCCCTGTGCTATACAGTAGGACCTTGTTGTTTATCCATTTTATATATAGTAACTCCCGAACTCTTAATTTATCCCTCCCCCACCCCATTTCCCCTCTGGTAACCATCAATTTGTTTTCTGTGTCTGTGAGTCTGTTTTTATTTTGTAAATAATTTCATTTGTATCATGTTTTAGATTCCACGTATAAGTGATATATGGTATTTGTCTTTCTCTTTCTGACTTAGTTCACTTAGTATGATAATTTCTAGGTCCTTTCACATTGCTGCAAATGGCATTATTTCATTTTTTATTATTGAGCAGTATTCCTGTGTTTAACACCACATCTTTATCCATTCTTCTGAGATTTTTATAGTTTTACACATTACCTTTAGATTCATAATCTCTTTGAGTTAATTTTTATGTACGTGAGATGTAAGCTGAGGTTTGTTATTTTGCAAATAGAGGTCCAGTTTTTACTGCACTTTTTGTTGAAAAGACTGTTCTTTCTGCATTGCAATGCCTTTATGCCTTTGTTAAAAATCTGTCGACCATATTTTTGTGGGTCTGTTTTTGGAATTTTTAGTCTATTGCATTAGTACCCATGTCTTCTTTTACTAATACCACACTGTCTGGATTACTGTAGCTTTATGATACATCTTAAAAAAAATCAAGTCCACAGACTCAAAATTTAATGTCAAACTATGGCTTACCAAACACTGCGTCTAGGAAGGATTGCAGGAGCACATCCAATATAGTGACCCAATTCCTCAGGCTTCTTGGAACTTGGAAGTTACAGATGTTCTTTTAATCACAACTTTATAAGAAACACAAATATATGGAGTTAGGTTACTAATTCAATTTCAAACAAGGTCTTTTTCAGCAGTTGGAGACTTTAAGACCTGAGTGAGGAGTGAACATTCTTCAGCTATTTTTTTCAAGTGCTTTTCAGTCCTACCTTCTTCCTCCTTTCCTTCTGGGGCTCCGGTGACATTAACTGATGTTAGCTCTTTTGTCATAGCTCCACAGGTCTCTGAGGGGCTTCTTGTTTATCTTTTCAGTCTGTTTGCTTTCTGTTCAGATTTGGTCCTTTCCATTACTTTGTCCTCTGTCCACTAATGCTCTCCTCCCGCGTCCCCCGTTCTGTTGTTGAGCCCATCCACGGAGCTCGTTGTTTCAAGTTATTGTAATTTTCAATGATAATATTTCAATTTGTCTCTTTTCTTCATGTGCTTTATTTCTTCACAGGTATTTTCTATTTCTTTGCAATTTTTAATATAAGTGTATTTGTAATCATTTGCAGAAGCATTTTTATCATGATTGTTTTATCTTTGTCAGAGAAGTCTACTATCCCTGCCATCTTGATGTGGCATCTGTGGGTGGTCTTTTCCTGTTCATTTTACGATCTTCCTGTTCTTGGTTCAATGAATGGTTTTGTTTGAAACGTGGACATTTTTGCACTGTGCTATGAGACTCTAGATCTTATTTAAATTTTATGTTTTAACTGGCTTCTTCTGCTACCCGTCTGCCAGGGCAAGGCGGGGG